TCAGCCCTTTTGGTAATAAACTAAATTTTGAAAGGAATTGAGGGTGTAGTGTGGTATTTGGATGACCTGCTTAGCTCAGCTCCAGGCACATGTATGGTGATAGGCTGAAGGGTGGAGGTGGATAAGAATGGAGTCCAGGCGAAGGCACACAAATTTGCAAGGTTTTACATCTCTATTTGGTATTTAAATCACAGGGTAGACAATGAAGAGTTATATCTTCCCAGTGGTAACATTAAAGCAATAAGAAATGTGCTACACCTCAAAAACACTTCTCAGCTCATCTTCCAGTGAGCCCCAAATCATGACAAATCATCCTTATCATGTCAAAAAAATTAAGTTTGTATATGGTCCTTTTCCATATGGAACAAATGCTATGGCCTACGGGATAGTAGGAGTAGAGATTGAATTTTCTCTTGCAGCCTCCATGCCGGTGAACAAAATTGTGCTCAGAATGTGAAGTGTTGTGCTTGATCTCTGCAGTAAGAACATTTCATAGATACTTGCGCAGTTGTAGTTTCAAGATTGAAACTGATCATAGCCAAGTCCCTAGTATCTGTTCTAGCTGCAGCTCAAATGTACCAAATGTAGAAATGGCTACTGATTCTGTATCAGTACAAAATATAATGTATGACATTAAATACAGATGAGAGAATAATCGTGATACTGAAGTGATGTCTGGATTACATTCATCCACAGAGTAGAGCCCAACGGGGACAACGTATTTTTCTTAATATCAGTGAGTTGCGAGTCACATTGGCAGATGACATTGGAAGAATAATTAAGTCATGGAGACCCATGTTGGCAAGGGTGTATCATGATATCACAAATGGGTGGCCAACTTCGATGTTGGATTTAGAAATCAGGCCATTTCCTATTCACAAAAATGAATTATGAGTTGATAAGGACTGTGCCACATGGAAAGACAGTTGTAATCACTGAGAAAATGCAGATCACAGTTTCTCTGTGACCTTCATTATCTAGACTTAGAATGGATTTGACAAACAGTCTATGGAGGCGGTATCTTTGGCAGCCACACTTCAATAGAAAATAGAAAACAGTGAAGCAGTGTAGTATCTGTAAAGCAGAAGAAACGAAACCATCATTGGTATGTTTTGTAGCTATGAAAATTGCTAGCAAGATATTGTGAGAGACTGCACATTCAGTTTTGCAGAATGAGAAGGACAACAGCAACTCTTTTTAATCAACAGCCATTCAAAGTGGATTGAGAGGTTTCTGATGAATCAAACAACAATAGGCAAAAACTAGATAGTTTGTGTAGTCTGTATGCTGTATACCTGTTCCCAGAAGAAAGTATGCCTGTTTGTTTGCACAATTCATGAGTGCAAACAATGTAAAGCATTGAATTCCAGTGTCATCTAAAGGAGCAGCAGAACACACAGTACACACTGTTAATGAGCTCTTGGTAAGCAAATGTAAGATACAAATCTGAAGAAATATCAATTATCAATAGATCACTGCCTGGTGAACTTTGTTTTCTTGAGAAACTTAGCAGGTCTCACAGCATCTGTAGAGAGAACAGCTGTGTTTTTCCAGCATTTTGTGTGTTTGTTTCAGATTTTCAGCATTCACACCAGATGTAACTGATGAAATGGGAAATTCAACAGTAGGTCAAGGTCAAAATCATTCTTGTTGGAGAAAACTCCTTGGACTTGGTTGAGGATGGTTCAAGGTTTTTCCATAAGTTCTATAGATCGGAGTTGGGAAAGGAGATATCCCATTAGGAACAGAAAACCAGTGACTATATTTGATTTGTGAATAAAGGAAAACATGGGAATGTTTGAAGAAATTGTGTGAAAATTGATCATATTTAACTTTTTCATTAAGTTAGCAGAAGTGTAACAGCGTCCTCTTGTGACCACTGCATGTATACAGGAACATAAAAAAGGATTAAACCAATCTTTCTTTGAGGAGAGATTTCATTGATTAGGATTTCATTCACTGGTATTTAGACGAATACCGAGGCCAAAAACTCATGGAACCCTCAGCCGAGCTGTCCCTGTCTGTGAAAGCTTTCTGAAGTCTCTGCCAATGCATGAGGTTGCAAGTAAGATCACATATAGATTCCTGATCAAGCTCTGCAAGGAACTAGTGAAATAGAAATTCAGCATAGCTATCACCTTGAGCATGTCTAACATGGAATCGCCACCATAATCCCTCGAGCAAAGGTCTGTCTGAATGAGTACCTTAAGCTCGGTGATAATTTGACAGAGAGGAGGAGATGCACTAACACTGCTACCAGCCATTTGCAGTAAGGTCAACTCTGTACAGAAACTTCAGGCTGGGCCTCGTGTTACTTCCTGCTGGTTCAATGCTTGTTTTGGTTTGGTCTCTTGTGGCAGCTGTAGAGTGGCCTTTTCTGGTTTCTCTGCATCATTGTCTGACTGAAATTCGCAGCCAACGACAAATCTACTGGATTTTGCATTATGGGATTAGTTCCATTCCCAGACCCCACAAAATGAGGCCACATTTTTACATTCCTGCTTCTCCAGGTTTCTGCTCCTGCATTGAGCCTGAGCTTATCCATCTGACTGCCAAAGTCAGGTTCCCAAGAGAGGCATCACCTCCACACATCTCAAGCCAGTCTCTTGGAACTTCAAGTTATTCAGAATGATCAGAACACAAAAATAGGCTCTGCAATGCAGATCCAATAGTGACACTAACCCAGTGCCAAGGTCTCAAACTCTGGAGCTGCATCCCTAAAATCATAATTTCAAATCTGTCACATTGACTATCTCCTACACAGCTCAGTGTCAAATGGTCTTTAATAACACTTGGAAATGTTTTGGAATATTTTATGACATGAACTTGTTGCTGTAGTCATTCATTAAGGTAAACTGTTTGTACATACTGGGTGGGTATAGCTCAAACTGATAGCTCATCCAAGCAATGGCCTAGTGGTGTTATCACTAGACTATTAATCCAGAGACCCAGGTAATGTTCTGGGGTGGTTGCGAATCCTGCCATGGCAAACAATGGAATTTGAAATCAGTAAAAATCTGGAATTAAGAGTCTAATGATGACCATAAATCCATTGTCAATTGTCAGGAAAAAACCCATCTAGTTCATTCATGTCCTTATAGGGAAGGAAACTGCTATCATAACCTGGTCAGGCCTACATGTGACTCCAGACCTACAGCAATGTGGTTGACTCTTGACTGCCCTCTGGGCAATTAGGGATGGGCAATAAATGCTGGCCTAGCCAGTGATGCCAAAATCCTGTGAATAATTTAAAAAAACCCTCTTTTCTTGCATCACTTTGCCGTATTCCATGTTATCCTTACTTATTCTCCCGGTCATATTGTTTCCTGGGGAGAATCCATACTTTGGAACCACATCTTTACAGCAAGTAGTTTATGCAGAATCCCTTTAATTCAGGATAAAGCTGATCAGTACCTGCACTCTGCTCCCTGTAAATTTTAGCACAATTACAGTGCTTTCCAAAAAGCCTCATCCTACGCTGTAAATCTTTCCATTTTTTTGTGAACACATAAAATCCTTTTCAAGCTCAAACGCAGCTGGAAGAAATCAGTCAGGCACTAGAGTCATAAAATCAAACAGCAGGGAAACAGACCTTTTTTGCTCAACTTGTCCATTCTGACCAAGTTTCCCAAACTAAACTAGTCTCACTTGCCTGTGTTTGGCCCACATCCCCCTAAACCTTTCCTATTCATGTACCTGTCTAAATGTCTTTTAAATGTTGTAATTGGACCTGCATCTATCACTTCCTCTGGCAGTACATTCCGCATACGAACCACCCTCTGTGTAGAAAAGCTCCCCCTCAGGCCCCTTTTACATCTTCCTCACTAATCTGGTGCTACAAGATTAGAAATTGCTGGAAAAACTCAGCAGGTCACACAACATCTGTGGAGAGAAAGCAAAGTTAACTTCAGGTCCAGTGACCCTTCTTCAGAACTTATTTGATGATCCCTTTAAATAGAGTGGCTAAGTGATCCTTCTTGCTGCTGAGGGTGTGTTCATCTCTTTTATTTCAGTGATGATGCTAATTTGAATGTTAAGCTCCAAAATGGGCAACACTGGCATCAAACCAAGGTTCAATGCTGATTGATATTGTAATCTACCCAATTCTTATTATATCTGCTCATTGTGTTGTTGAGCAGCATTGTCCCCTTTAAGCCATTCGAAGTGGATCACACTAAAATGTCACAATACATGTACTAGTAGTGTTGAAATTTAGGTCTGAGTATTTTTAGTGCCTGTATTGGCTCTGGATTAGGTGGTTGTAGAGAATTAGTAAAATATGCACTCATCCTCAATCTACACATTTTTTACTCTTCCGTCAGATGATCTTTCCTGAAAGAGGGAAGGCAGCTGACTTTATACAATTACTTCACCAGTGTACACCATCTGCAATATTAGCTTTTCATAAAGCTATAAGGTTCCCCATGAAAACCAGCAGAATGTAGTGGTGGCAATTGTTGGCCATGTTTTAGATAGTGGATTATTTGCAGTGAACATGAGTGAGGTTCAGAACCTATGCTTGGTTTTAAGGTCTTCTTCAGCTGTTTACTACAAACATACCTATGAGGCTAAACTGATATCACTGTGCTTTTGGAATTGAAAATGAAGAATAAAATTAAAGTCAGGTCCAAAGGTTAGGTACAAGACATTGACAATTTAGAATTGCTTAACTTTAGTGCACCAAGGGTTTATCCATCTCTAAAAGAAAGTTAATAGTTTCTAGTTTCTGCGCTGTCATTTCAGATTGTATTCACATTTCACCAGTTTTTTGTTAGAATACACTGTAGATTTAAAAATTCTTCACAGAAATAGGAAAAACCAATAAACGTGTTTCATCCTGTTAACCAATCACAATGTAAGTAGATTGCAAACAGAAGCACGGTGGGATCGAACAGTGAGTCTAAGGATATCTAAAGAAACTCTATGCTCACTGACGGAATACTCTTCTGAGTCTCACTGTGTCATGTTCAGCATGGGCCCCTCACCCTTCTTTCACCAACCTGTTCATACCAGGAAGGTTACCCCAGAAGTACCGGGCTCGATGGGCAGCAGAGACTTCCTTGGCATCAATCATCACAGGATTACACTGGCAGAAAAAGAGGAAAGGATGAGCATATTCATTTCACAAACCTGGATGATCTAATGTCACGAGTGAAATCTTCTCTCACCCCACTCCCCTACCCCAAATTCCAGACGACCTGTTTGAAAATTAAAAAAGGTCCTTTATCAATTTGTGTACCTGGCATAGACATTTCAGTGGGTAGTGCAAAACACGAAATCTGCCACGCTGTCCCCATAACTTTTGATTCATCAGACAACATTGCAGGGATTTATTACATAATGATACCCAGAGTAGGACAGTAAGGGACAGAGAATACAAACATTTTAAAAAAGTAAATAGAATTAGAGGGGAAAAATGAATAAAAGGCAAAATTAATGGCTTTTCATTGAAATGTGTGCAGCATCTGGAACAAAATTAATGAATTAACAGCACAAATAGAGGTTAATAGGCATGATCTTATAGCCATTATGGAGATCTGGTTAAGGGGAGATCAAAAGCTGGGAGCGAAATACGAAAGGCAGGAATGAAGGGTGGTGGGTAGCTTTGTCACTGTGAGATGGAATAAGTACCACGGCAACAAACTATCTTGGATCAGAAGATATTGAATCGATATGGGTGGAGATAAGAAATAACAAGGGAAGGTGACACTGGTGAGAGTAGTCTATAGGCCTCTAACAGTAGCTATTTTGTAGGATAGAATAAATTAGGACATAATGATGGCATGTAAAAAAGGAAGTACGTTAATCATAGCTAACTTTAATCTTCATGCAGATTTCAAAAATCAAACTGGCAGAGGTAGCCATGAGGAAGCATTCAGAGTGTCTATGGGACAGTTTACTAAAACAGTAATGTTGTGGATCCCACTAGGCATCAGGATATTTTATATCTGGCGATGGATAATGAGTTAGAATTAATTAATGATGTTGGAGTAAAAGATCCCCTAGGAAATAGGAAATAGTTACCTCAACTCGGTTCCAGAGTGAGCAACTTGAGTCAGATATTTAAATAAAGGTAACCACAAAGGAATGAGGCAGAGTTGGATGGAGTGAACTGAGAAATGCGTTTAGTAGAAAAGATGGTTGCTGAACAATCACAGACGTTTAAGAACATAGCACATGTCCAGAGCAAAGATATATCCCACTGAGGAAGGAGGATTCTAATAAGTGGATTAAACCATCCATGGTTAATCAAGGAAGGCAAGGATGGTATCAAACCGAAAGAAAAGAAAACATATAATGTAGCAAATGGTAAGCCAGAGTTCAAAAGTTTTAAAAGTCAACAAAAGATGATCAATAAAAAAGGAAATGGAAAACAAACTTTGAGGGTTAATTAGAAGTAATACAAAAAAAAGTAAGAGCTTCTTTAAATATGTAAATTGAAGAAAGAGACTGAAGTGAACATGGATCCCATACAGAATTATACTTGGGAAATAATAATGAAGAACCAATAAATTGAACCAGGAAAAAGGAGCTGAATAAATATTTTATGTCAGTCTTCACAATAGGAGACAACAATATTCTAAAAACAGTAAATATTCAAAGAGCAAAAGGTGGGGCTAGGAAATTAATTCAAGAGCCAATACAAGGGAAACTAATGGGGCTAAAGGGCGCCAAGTTCCCTGGATCTAGCAGGCTGCATTCTATGTTATTAGAGGAAATATCAAATAAGATTATGGATACATTGGTAAGAATTTTACAGGAATCCTTAGATTCTGGAAATATCCCAAAGGATTGGAAAGCTGCTAATGTAACACCTTTACTTAAAAAAGGAAGGAGACCAAAATAGGTAACTATAGGCCAGTTAGCTTAATGTCTGTTGTTGGGAAAATGTTAGAATATTATAAAGGATGTAAAAGCAGAGCATTTAGCAGTATTTTAATCAATAATCATGCAAGGTCAGCATGGCATCAAGAAAGGGAAGTCATATCTGACAAATTTATTAGAAATATTTGAGGGGGGTAACAAGCAAGGTGGATAAAGAGGAACTAGTAGATATAAAATACTTAATTTCCAAAAGTCATTCCATCAGGTACTGCACTATTTAATAAAAGTCTACCTTGTTGGGGTAATATATTAGCATGGATAGACGATTGGGTAACTAATAAAAAACAAAAAGTAGAGAAGATGGCAGTTTTAGAATAGGAACCTTTAACTATTGAAGTACCACAGGGATTAGTGGGGCCACTATTGGTTGAGGGCAGTGAATGTATAATGGTTAGGTTTGTAGATGACACAAGATATGTAGGAAGGCAAGTATTGAGGATGACAAAGAGTCTACAGAGGGATGTAGACAGGTTAGGCAAAAGTTTGGAATATAATATCCATAGAGCAAGGGACTGTAGTCGTTCAATACCAGTCATAACTAGGCTGGCTGTTCAGAGACGCATAGATAAGGTAGACAGGAAGAAACTTCTCCCCTTAGTGAATGGATCAGTGACTGGGAGCGTAGATTTAAGGGAAGGGTCAGGAGGTTGAGGGGATGTTAAAGATTTATTCACCCAGAGGGTACTGCGAATCAGGCACTCACTGTCTGTAAGGGTGCAGGGGCAGAAAACCTCAGAACATTTAACAGTATTTAAATGTGCACTTGCAACGGCAAAGCCGTGCACGAATTAGACTAGAATACTATGAACAGGTTTGGTCTTCTTTTTACCGGCATTAGAGGCCGTCTGGAGAAAGTCCAGTAAGATAATCTAGGTATAGAGGGATTTTCCTATGAGGAGAGGCTGAGTGGGTTGGGCCTGTTCTCATTTGAGTTGAGTCAGGGTTTGATATGCTGCAGGTGAGGGTGAGCTATGGTTGTCAGTGAGTGAGCTGAGTTGTGGGTCAATTTTGCAGTTACTCAGGAGATAGATTGCTTTTAATAGTGTAATACTTCCTGAGTAACTACTTATTTAACTCCAGAGAAACACCACAAATTTTCCGATTTAAATGGATACTTTCAGAGGGTTCCAAGCGTTGGGGGGTTGCACAGCAGAATTTTCAATTTCCTCGGCAATCCCTTCATGGAATCCTTCAACTCTTAACTACACTGGAAAACAATTATCTGGCCACTGGAAAATCTGGGCTTATATGTAGCAGATTTCAGAAAGTGCTTCTCAATAGAGAGAACATTATTTACTACCAGAAAGCAGCCAGTCCATTGTAGCAAAATAAATGTTTAATGAAGAATTATCAGACCCATCACACTGCATTGTTCACTTTGGATACCTTGTTGCTTGAATGTAACATAAAACTTTCAAAATTCAGGTAAAATTGAAACTTTACAAATTGGAGATTTGGGTAATTTTTTGAGAGTTCCAATATGATGAAAGCTTGCCAAACTGATGGCACTTGTAACATTGCATCATTAGTTGACAGAATTCAAAAAGTAGTAAGAGGCACGAATCCATCTAATTAGACACATTCTCAGAGTTTTTTCTGTGTCCAGAAGTTATTAATGTAATTGCTGCTTTTTTCCCCCTTCCGATGGACATTTCTGATTTCATAAAGGGACTGACCTTGTTCCTCACACACATCATTTCTACTTCCACAGAGGTCATAGTAATAGTGCACACTTCAATTCTGATCGAAATAGAATGCAAGCAATGGAATGAGTTCTTGATATTTTGGACAAATTATACTTCAAAATAATGTGATTCCCCCCAGTTGCATTGAAGCAAAACTCTAAAGATCTGCATACTTTCTGCAGCGGCTTTATCTCTTTCTAATGCCTTTCTGTAGCATCCACAAGACATCTACTGAGAGACTGAATAGCTTGAACACTTCCTGAAGTCTGCTAATACAACATCATAGATGCTGAAAAAATATACCAAGTATTTATCTTAACTGGTATGCAATATAATTCAGATTCGGTTGCAGCAAAGATGAAAGATACGAAGTATAAGTATAAGAAATTGACATTTGGACAAATTCTGGTTTCATGAATTACATGTCTTTTTCAGGACTTTGGGGATAGTGTTTAAGAAAATTGCTTTTTCTATTTAAAGTTCTTTGTTTGAAGAAACTCACCTCCAGAAAGCGGGAGATATCTCTCTTATCACTAACTCCCATTGCCACCACGTTTTCAAACAACCAGAAGAATGGCCTGTTGTCTCCTTCTTTAGGCCTTGTTTCATGGAGAAGACGGTAGAACTCAAAAAACAGGCGGCCTGTGCCCTCTGTGAAGTAAACAGGGTATAACACACAGTGAAAAATGTCCTTGGCTGTAAAACTTTAAGAACTGAAAAACTGGCATGGTAGCAGCTGACACGATTAACTCATGTCCATTGTCCCAGTGTCGACAAGCACAAACATCTGCGCTCTGTATGTGACAACCGACAACACCTTCCGGCCACGAATCATTTTAACTCCCCCTCCCACTCCTTGGGTGACATGTCCATCCTGGGCCTCCAGCAGTGCCGCAATGACACCACACGCGAACTGGAGGAGCAGCACCTCACATTCTACCTCGGGACCCTACAGCCTGATGGCCTAAACATGGAATTCACCAGTTTTAAAATCTCTCCACCCCCAGCCTCATCCCATGACCAATAGTCCCACTCATCCCTGCCTCCTTGACCTGACACAACCTGTCCATCTTCTCTCCCACCTATCCATCCCACTGACCAATCCCCACCACTCCCCACCTGCACTCACCTATCGCCATCCCACCTACCTTCCCCAGCCCCATCCCTCCTCTCTCTATTTATTTCTGAGCTCCCTTCCCCCTCCCCATTTCTGAAGAAGGGTCCTGACCTGAAACATCAACTTTCTTGCTTCTCTGACGCTGCCTGGCCTGCTGTGTTCCTCCAGGTCTACACTGTATTGTCTCTGACTCTAGCATCTGCAGTGCTTGCTATCTCACAAACATTGTGCTGCTTTTTTATTTTTATGTTATTTTGCCTGCAGCCAGAATTAACTAAGCTACTGAATGTCTACACACCTGAGCAGAGTGTGCAAAATCGAGAAGCACGGGCAGTATTTAAAGCTATCTATCCTACACTACTTGAAGGAGATTTGCACAGAGACTGAAGCAGGTGCTGGAATAGGTTGCAGACGGTTGTTGAGAGCTAAAACACTGGCAGCACAATATGACAGTGAGCAGACCCAAGGCAGTAGCAGCTAATTGTAAGGGGCTCTAAACCTAATGTTAGCATATTCTTAAAACAGTGGAGACAACAGTGGTCACCAACACTGAAGTAAGAATGAGTGTCTTCCTCTTCTTCCCTACACAACTACCGTATGCTTCTGACTCCTTTCTGACACCCAAGAACTGCAAACTCCCCAGGAGCTGGTGGAAGAGGAGGAGATAGGAGTTCCGGGGAGACACTGAGGAAGAAGAAATAATCTACTGAGACTTACAGCCACCAGCTCTGATACTGACACAGCACACACTTCAGACAATAACAGACATATGGGACAAACACATGAACAGACATTGGGCAAGAAAGTCTTGCAGCCATAGCAGCAGACTAGAGTGACACCGGTGCCATGTTGCTGGAGGATAAGTTTTCACATGAGTTCTGCTGCACCACTGGGATGTATGGAAGATTCAACTCCAATTTAGCACAGGCTGTGTGCACAGCTTAAAAGCTGAGGAGGTGCTGAACAAATCCATTAGCATCTAAACACAGAGTGTCTGGTGGCCAATATCACAGCTTCCATTGCAGTGAAAACAGCATTTACCCCATACGCCAGTACAGTGAAAGCTCAGACTGAAGTCAGGAAAGGTAAGACTGCTGTCATCACAGCTTCACATACTAGTGTGCATAGAGGCTTGCAGGCTGTGTATCACACCAGTCCAGTAATCTGTCTTACAACACAAGTAGATTTTTGAGGCACTGTGTTGGCAGAGTGACACAGACACTGTGGACACTCTCTAAGAGGCCTTCCATCCCTGCTACTCTGCACTTACTGATGACCATCAACCAGCAATCTGCAGCTACTGATGTGGCAGTATGTAGTGGCATCAGGTCAGGCAAAGGCACATTGAAAACAGCAACAAAGTGAGTGTACAAGGGTGACTGGTTGAATATTGAATAGTTTGTTTGCTACAGTTGGTTTGGCATGTTTGTTTTATATTGACCTTTATCTCAGTATTGTTACCAAGAGAGTACTGTGATGGTCAATAACAGAGCAAAGGTGAAGAGAGAATTGGGATTTGCAATCATCGGTACCACAGTTAGATGAGCTGATTTTGGGTAGCCTAGCTAGACAGGGATGGTATTTGTTGTCCCCTCCCTTCTTGTTCCTGCAGCTTTGCAGTCGTGTGGGAAATACATGATGGTGAGAACGTGCAGGATTTGGCAGAACAGAACAAATTGTGACATGCAACAAATTTACCGAGTATACGTCCAAGTCCAGGGAGCAGAATAGTTGTTCAGACACTCTAAGTCGTCTGTTCCAAGACTTTCTGTGTGACTCCATGTGTTCTGTTATTGGCATGCTGCCCGTGTAACTGGGTTGTACACCATAGTCAAAAGCCATGTGGTTAGTAGTGGATAGACCTTGTCGCCCTGTAGCAACCCTCTGGCTTATTATGGGTTCAAATGCAGATGGAACAATGGATTGCTACACAACAAATACATTATTTACAGCAACCAGGTAACTGGGCACTGACCTGCTCAATTTGCTGAGTATAATCAGACATCAGCTGGACATTGAGGGATTGGAATCGCTTTCCATTGCTGTCTATCTGAGCTGACACACTCTAATCACAAAGGAACTTGTGTCAGTGATTGGCATCCAGCACCATGGGGAATCCTGTAATCTTCATAAAGCAACATCCTCCATCTGCCTTTTACTAGCAAGAGACAATTAAATTGAAGCAGCACTTGAATAGAGAGCTGCTGAGACATTGCTTACTGCAACAGAGAACACCAAACTGTAAGATGCTGCAAATATTTCCTGATCCAACCTGGAAGGAGCCAGATACATTAGGATTCAAGGCCACAGTCACCTTCCTCACCCTCCTTGACCTCTCTCATAAATAGTAAGAGTGGTGATTCTATCCTGTGGCTGAACACAGGCTCAGCTGTATGACAGGATCAGTTGGAGCGTTCAGGTAAAAGTGGGTTCAGTCAAATCAAATCAGTGGTACACACTGATGTTAGTGCTTCTAGCGCATGCTCCATGTGTGCTAACACCTTCTTCACCTAAAGTGTGTGCAGATACTATTTTGGACTCAAAATGGCACCGGTATGCTGAATTTACAGATGCAGCACTGCCAAATTCTGCAGCCCTTAATTTAACAGTTACTTGTTTCAAGTAGCCACAATTTCTCAGTAAAATTACATCAGCCACAGACAGCAGTATGAAGAACAAGGCAATCTGTTATGATGAAGGACGACAAGGACAAGATTGGATTGGTGCGTATCGGCAGCTGAATCAGTTGCACGTGCACCCACATCTATTGTAATAGTGGTGGATCTCCAGAAATTCAAGTAATCCACTCTAGATATGTAATTCTATGAATGTGATACGTAAAAAAGACGCTGTTCCTCACATTTTTGCAGCCGTTCAGTGTGAAAGGGCACTGACTATGTGGATAGAAATGGTGAGCAGAGATATAGGAAAAAGCAGGAGATTGGCACAAGGTAATAAAACTGGTGCAGGCACAATGGGCATTGCTAGATTTGTTTGCTGGAGGTCACCTGCCTGGGTTTTATGACTGCCAGGGAGCTAGTTTGTGTTTGAACAAAGTTTCACATGCCAGTTGAAGGTTTGTCTTGTTTGTTTTCAGATGAGGAAAAGATTGCTTAGATTATTTCCCTGTCTTTCTGAAATACCTTTTTTTATTGAGAATCCAGTGTGAAACCCAATTGTCCTAATGAGGTGCATTTGGAAGACCTCGCAATACCGGGCTTCTTGAAGAAGCTGCATCTGCCAAAGTATGAGAGATGACGGCACCTGTCTAGTGGCCTATGCGTGCCAGAATGTCAGATTAACAGCTATTTGAGTTGTTCCCATATTAGCCTTTATTCTTTCAAGAACTCGCCGTTATTCACCAGAAGTCATTTTTTTTGCTCAAAATGAATCTCTGCAGTTTTCTTTCTTTTATCTGGTATGTGTATGTGGATTATTGCCTTGGATAACTATAGAGGGGTAAACATTTACGCTTTCATTTTTAAAAATTGTAATTTAAGCTTTGCATCTTTGTTACAAAGTTATGATAGAACAAAAGTCAATTTTGTGTTATTAAAGAAATCTGGTTATTGGATCTTTTTATTCTAAATCTGATATAGCGAAAGCATACAATTGGCTATATCAGGAACTGGATTAAACAATAACATTGATGTAACCTGTGGAATACTGGCATTGGAGGTACAGAGCACAAAACTCACCTTGGTCATTACCTTTCCATGTATCAGGTTCTTTGAAGTTTGAGCTGAAGATATTTGCAATGTCGACTATAATTACTTTGTAAAGGAATTCACTGACACCATCCAGAAAGAGCAGCAAGGGCAATGAATATGTAGTTTCACAAGATTTACAGGCTTTCGATGTGCAGGGTGACATTGAATGCAGACACCATGTGTAATCTTTCTAATATACCAGAACTGAAATTATTCCAATCTAGTCGGTGTGCATATTCCAACAAATCAAACAGTCCAGTGCCATACACCTTGGCAGCGATCATGATGTCTTCATTCTGAGGCACTGTACCAACTACAATAGCCAGTGTGGAAATCCAGAAGGAAGCCTTGCGTCAGATTGCATACATACAATTAAAGTCAAGCTGCTTGTCAAAGTGTGGTAGAGCAGGCCACTGGGATACAGAACAACAAGGGATATTCTGGCTGGATCACTTTATTATGGCAGCATCTAGGCTGGTAGGAGGCTGCTGACCTTCAGGAGCAGAGACAGCAGATGGATACCGAGGATGACCTTGAACAGCAGTTAGGTCTGGAAGGCTGGACTCAGCCATTATTGTTTCAGGCTCGGTGGGCAGGCAACCTTTTAATTGGTGCCAGCCTCTCAATATTGGGCCCAGTGATGATACCAACAGATACCCAGTGTGTTCAACACTGGCTGTAAGCTGCAATTATGGTAAACAGCAGGCAGCTTGAACTTGGCAATTGGACTGCATTGGAAGCAAAGTGCATAATTGCTTGCCCCATTGCAATCTCCATGCCCACTTTTTTCAGGGCTATTGAATTTACCTTCCAAGTAGGAAACATCAGTAATTCTAGGTGATATACATTATCAGCAGTTTATTTTAACTAAAGCATCTGATTTTTCACTGTGCTTACTGAAATAATATCTACTCCAATAGATATCCTGGTCCACTCCTCCTCCACTTCTAACATACTCCCACATCACATTTGTCAGCAAACGCAGATGGTGTAACACTTGCCTGTTTACTTCCTCCCTCCTCACCACCCAAGGCCTCAGGCACACCTTCCAGGTGAAGCAGCGATCTACTTGCAGTTCACTCAGTTGAGGCTATAGTATTATAGTCTACTGCTCACAATGTGGTCTCCCTCTACACTGGGGAGAAGAAACGCAGATTGCTCAAGCGCTTTGTGGAACACCTACATTCTATCCACAAAAGTGACACCGAACTTACAGTTGCCTGGCCAACATCTGTCTTGGGCTTGCTACAGTGCTCAAGTGAATGTCAGTGTAAGCTAGAAGAACGGCACCTCATTTTCCACTTGGGGATCATGCAGCCTTCAGGACTCAATACTGGCTTTAATAATTAGAGCCTGAACACTTTCATGTCCTTTACTGAGCCCCACACCCCAGGCCCTGTTGTGATAATGGGCTGCTTTCAGCACAACCTACCCATTTTCACTTACGTATGGTTCCCATTATCAGCTTTTCTCCTTACGTGGCTTACTATAAACCATCCCTTTATCTGCTGACCTGTCGTTTTATTTCCTCTCTCTCTCTCTGGGTTCCATCTCCACCTATGCACTCACTCCTTTTACACCCCCAGCCCCTGACTTCAGCATACATACACCTTTCTCCTAGCTGCTATCAGTTCTGAAAAAGCGTCACTGGACTTGAAACGTTAACTCTGTTTTCTCTCCATTGATGCTGCCGGACCTGCTGAGTTTCTCCAGCAATTTCTGGATTTGTTACAGCAATAAAGCAATTGTCTGCCACCTGGAGTGGCTTGAAATGAAACTGGTGGCACATTTGCTTGAACCACTGCATGCTCATCTCTGGGACTGGATAAAAATCTTAAACCAACTGACAGGATCAAAGTCTCTTTTAGTAGGTTTAGGTACTCAAACTATAAAAGTAAAGAATGACTCTCATTATTCCCCGGAAATACAACCTAATTGTGCCAGCACAAAAATGTCTGGATCAAAAAGCTAAACATCAAGCAAAATGAAGAAAATGATGCAGTGCCTGGAAAGCAGCTAATACAATACCAATGAGTTGAAACAGTTGGGTGAAGAATATGATTGACAAATGGGAATAGTAACAATTATACAAGTTGCTCACCATAAAGTCCTTTCCTGGCAGGATTCACTATGGACAAATCATTGCAGGGGCTTCCACCAATCACCAGGTCAAATGGTCCCCATTCTAGTAGCTGAAGGAAAAATATAATTTTAGCACAACTTCAAGACACAGTTACTGAGTGGTCACTTAAGTACCACAGCTAAATGTCAGTTTAATTTATAATGGCAGAGTAAATTATTGTACTAACACATGAATCATTTTCTGGTCTCTGATGTTCTGAGTGTCTGTCACAGATTAACAGTTCTTTTGGTTCAAACAAGAAGTATGCTCATGTGACAGGCTGTGAAGCAACTGGACTTGTTAGCATCCTTTGTTTTGGCTCCATGAGTGCCCTTAGAATTTCCAAATGGGGTTCACGGTGGTGTATACACGATTGTGGGATGTCACATTGATGCACGAGTTAAAGCACAAACAGTGAATATGACTGCTGAAAGTACATGGAGCTTGCAAATCATGAGATTAATCAGTGAGCAGCACTGTCTAAAATCAGTATTCCACTTCAGTTCAAGGCTAAAACCATACATCGTAGAATTCCTACAGTGTAGAAGCAGGCCATTCGGCCTGTCGAGTCCACATCAACCTTCCGAAGAGCATCCCACCCAGATCCAGCCTCTACCCTATCCCTGCATTTTCTAACCTAGACACTATGGGCAATTTAGCATGGCCAATCCACCTCATGTGCACATCTTCGGACCGGAAACCAGAGCACCCAGAAGAAACACACACAGACATGGGGAGAATGTGCAAACTCCACACACAGTCCCGTGAGGTTGGAATTGAACCCGGGTCCCTGGCGCTGTGAGACAGCAGTGCTAACCAGTGAGCCACTGTGCTCATTTGGAAGCACCACACATTGACTCTGCCCTGAACCAGAACCAAACTGAAAATCCCTCTCTTACTATCCAGCTGCAGTGTGACTGTAGGAAATGAATTATGCAGGTCAACGCCTGGTATACTGACCACAGTTATGATTCATTCAGTCATCACCATTCTGAAATTGAGCCAACATGGCAAACCAAAAGGTGCCAACCGAGGGACAAAAGATTGTCCACTGATGATACACTTGATGACTCTGGTGTGTAATTAGCACGCATTTGGTCAGCGCACACTTTATCCAGTCACATGGCCATATAAAATATGAAAGAGAGGACCAGCAAAGCTCTAATGCAACAGCTCTGCTCCCTGCACTGCTCCTGACAAGCTCTGTTATCATCTGCTGCTTGGTTCTCTGATGATACCATGGCTTGCAGAGGTAAATTTTTTCCTTGTTTTTGTGAAGAGAGGTTGAGACAGAGGTTTGAGTGGTCTACTTCAAACCAATGAAGTTAACAGCTTGTGAGGGAACTAAAACAAAGTTGCTGGAAAAGCTCAGCAGGTCTGGCAGCATCTGTGAAGGAAAAAACAGAGTTAACGTTTTGGGTCTGGTGACCCCTCCTCAGAACTGTAAGGGCTTGGGTTTATTTTAAAAATTGGAACAGACAGACTGGGTGGGGTCAACCTCCCACAGAACCAGAACTTTAGTTTTAGTTTTAGTTTTCTGCAGTTGCTGGGGTCTTGAAACTGGATATGGAAGCTCTTTCTTCCTCTCTCTGATACAGCTAAAAGCTGGGGTTCTCTTCCTGCTGCAAGTATTACATGTGAGACAATTTATTTTACTGAATTTGTCTTTGCCAAGGGTGCGATTATGGGATTTATGATATTGAAACAGTTAATGAGTAGTTTGTTATTTTGTTAAGTATTTCAATAGTTACAGTTAAACCAATTATTTTCCTTTCTTTATTTTGTTTGTATTTTAACTATAGTATATGAATAAAGTGCATTTTGCTTTAATCTGATTGTCCAGACGTTAACTTTTTCTCATTTTAAAGGCAATTGTCAGGCATTGACTTCCATATGCAATTTAATTGGTTAAACTATCTCCTTGACATGTTTTGAAGGGGTTTGGTCTGGTCCATAACAACAGTGCACAACCTTATTACCGTGAAGGGACAATCTTTGCCAACAACCACTTTAGTGAGCAGTACAGCCTAAGGAGGAAGATGAAGGCAAGAGACAATCCAGAGAGCTCCATTTTGCCTGGGCTCTCCTTAAAGAACTCATCCAAGTTGAAAACAGTTAATTGCAATTCCAATTCCCCATTCAGTGAGTTCCACACCATACCCACACTTCTCTATCAGTGACCATCATAGCACCTGCTTGGCCACAAGCTAAAAACAAAAGCCAACACAAAATACATATTTCAAATTTATAAAGCAAAACATGACATACTGCATACAAACTGCAACTTATCAGTCTTGTGCATTCCCAAGCGCCCGTCCTTCCAAGTTCCTTTATCTGCGCGATTATTTCTACACAGCCATACTTCAGTGGTTGCTGTATGACTGATGGAAGGCTGCTGAGTTTTAGTGCAGACGGTCATTGAAGTCGATCTCACACAGCTTCAGGCCTAGAAAGCCCTACTGTGGCCTGCACCATTTTGGTTTGGATGGTAACTATTCGGCTGGCTGACTGACAGGCAATACCTGTCATGATAGCAACAATTTGAACTGGCATAGCAGCAAGCTGTGCTTATATGCCTTTAACCTCAGCTTCCAGTATAGCACTCCACTGTCAGTGACTGCTGCTTCTGCTGTAATGGAAGCTGTGAGATTTTCTATCAGATGCTGCACCATAGTTGGATCAACAAGTGTGTGAACAGAGATGGTCAAAACGTGAACGCTGAAAAAGACAGACTCCAAGATCTCTGTGCCAAACTGGTACTGGACTCTTCCCGTTTCCCTGATATTGACAGCAAGCTATGTGGTCAGTTTCCTGATGCATCAAGTATTTTGTCACCCATCAAAGTTCTTCTCTAGACTGCCCAAAACTGCTCATGTGAGTCCTCTCAGCAGAACCTAGGTGCAACTGCCACACCTGTTTAGCAATTTCCTTACACCCTCCCCTGGCTGCAGGACACAGGCACCTGATGACTCACTAAGTACAGATCTTATCTCAAATCTATCCTCCGAGATGCACAGTGTCAGATGATGCCTGCAAGTGTGAAATTAAATGACAATTCTATGCCTTCGTCAATCTTTTGCTGGTGTTTTCCCACTGCCTGGTTAGGACGCATCTCTTGCAAATCAGAAAGGAAAAATGTATAAGGACCGGACAATGGTGGAGAACAGGGGGAAAGCAAGCAATGCATCTACAACCTGAAAATCTGTAGAGGTTGCAGGATGAAAGGGAAGTAGGATTAGTAAGGCTGCTTACATCTTCCAGCACTTCAGACCTGTCACTGGCCAAGACCTCAGGAATTGTTATTCCAATAATGACCAGCATCATTCCTCCATATGGGTTACGGCATACAGGCCCACTTATTACCCTCCAGTGTGTCCTACCATGTCCTGCCAGATGGAGGAAAAAGTGCTACTGAATATGATGCAATCTGATATTGTCATCATGGTTGAATAGTTTACAGTGTGGGCAGCCTGTGAAATGTGGTATGAGGTTTGCAGCATTGAAGAGTGAAGCAAACTATATATCTGTAGGTATGTGTACTTATGACAGTGTGTTGGCAGGTTAATGGAGCTGTGGTGATTTGAAGTGTCTGAGATTAGTGGTACAGTTAGTAATGTATAATATGAAAATACATTCTCTGACTTGACCACTTGTGTGAAGTCCTTGGACTCCTCCTGTCCAGTTCCTTGGGCTTGACTCCTGCCAATAACTACCCTGGCTACTGGATCCCACTACCTTTCAACTTTGTGTTTCAACTGCTGCCTTCTCTCCTGTGGATGAAAGGAATGTCACTTTTCATCCCAACCACCTACGCTGTATCAGAAAATTTTGGAGCGTGTTCTTTTTTTGTCCACAGATCAGATCGGTCAGCACCTGCTCCAACCACAACACAGCTCCCCGTTTTTTTAAACCAGATGCAGGCTAGCTTTAGGTGCTGCTAATCACTTATGATATTGCAAAGGCTGCTGCACCAACAGGATACATTGTTAGTGCTGGTGGACACAGAGATCATTCAAATAGGCAGGTACATAGAAATGCTTGAAACTTCCACTGTCATCATTTGGCACGGTTAAGTGCATATCATGACCTCAAAGTCTAATCTCTGGGGCTACCAATGTCACCCACGGTTTGCCTTGGAACAATTGGACATACCTTCAGAACTAAGATTCACTAGATTCTGCAAATTTGAGCATTTCCATCAGCAGATAGGGGTAGAAAGGGAACATTGGTAGAAATGGTTAAAGGAACTCACTGCAGCAGATTAAGAATGATTTGGGATTGCTTGGCTCCCTCTTTCTCATTGTAAATAATGCAATGCACAATTTCAAGTGGCAATTGCAAGGAGAAATGTAAAATCTAAAAAGCAGGTTGGAAAAGAATTTTATGATTTACTAATTTAAGTACAAATTTGGTTGTAAAACATGTGCCACTGTATTGTACCTGGACAACTAGACAAGTTTTTTAAAAAGCCAAAATATTGCTAAGCTGTAATGGATTTCCAAAACTGTGACAAAGTTGATCGTTTTTATCTCCGGTATTTCTTCCTGATAAGACGTCATTTTTTCCTATCAGACAAATAACACAAGCTTAGCCTGATGTCAATCTCTGGGCTAAATATGTGTAAATATTTATTTGGATTGACTGAACTGTACTGAAATAACTTCAGCTCTTGCTGGTGGAGGATCAAAATTACCAGCAGCTATTTCATTCACTGTTTTTTGAAACAATTACTCTCTAAAATTCAGGAAGACAGCTTTAAACATATAACTTGCCTCACTGTTCTTCCGTTCCTTTTATTAACTTATGATGTCAACAGCTCTTTCTTCTCTCAAAGGGATTTAGTACCCCTGTGTGTGATGGATGAAATGGACACTGAATAAATTTCAGGAAGAGATAGACAAATTTTTAATTATTAATGGGCTAAAGGATTATGGAGAGTGGGCAGGAAAGTGGAGTTTATGCTGAGATGAGATCAGCCAAGATTGTATTCAATGGCACAGCAGGATCGAGGGGCTAAATTGCTTACTCCTGCTCCTAGTTCTTATGTTCTTATTGTACCCCTTTCCTTTAAATCTACCATCACCCCCTCCCTCAAAACACTAACTCATCTTGACATCATTGTCCTCATAAGCAATGGCTAAATTCCTTTCTCTTTCCAAATATTCCTTGAATGCATTTTCACCTTCCAACCTGGTGTCCACCTTGCTTGGACTCCATATTTAAGTTCTCCACAGTAACAACAAAGGTCAAATTTGAGCTCATGTTACATCCTATGTTATTTTATCAAAGGGAAGCTATCATTGTTTAGCCATGTATGCAGCCTTTAACACTGCTGACAACACCACCTTGTTCCAATGACTCTGCATTGTTATCCAGCAGGGTGGGATGGCACTTGCCTGGTTCCATTATCATCTAACTAGTCAGACCTAGGACAATTACTGGCAATGGAAGCAGCTAGAGTCACTGTTGTGCACTGTGAGGCAGAGGACTAGGTGGATAGCACATTTAGAGTGGTGGTCAAATTGCAGTTTAGGGGTGTGCAGGCATATTGGGAATGTGTAACTGTGAAGAAGTCCAAGAGATACATGCATGTCTCCCCTAAGACACTGGTTACTGGTGAAGGCAAATGTCTCTCAGAGAAGTATAGTTAGAGTCAAGTCTGTGGCATTGCATAGGAAACTGAAGGTATGAGGGGCAAATTGGCAATGGTTGATTGGGAAAATACACTAAAAGTTTCAATGTGAGACAGGCAATGGTTAACATTTGAAGAAGTACTAGGAGGTCTACAACAGATATGCATTCTTCTAAGGCAGAAAGTGTAAAGTGAATCAATTAAGGTTAACAGAAGTTAAAGCTTGCATTGGATTAAAGGAATTGGCTTATAAGAATACCAGAAACAATAAGCCTGAGAATTGGGATCAATTTAGGACATTGCAAAGGAGGACAAAGGAACTGATAAGGAAAGGCAAAAAGAATATGAATGTAAGCTAGAGAGGAGCATAAAGAAGGACTCTGAAAACTTTTATCAATATGTGAAAGGAATATGATTAGAAAGGATAAATGTGGGTCCATTACAGATGGGGACAGGAGAATTGGGAATTTCTGTAGTGAATTCAACAGAAGTGGAGAACAGGGAAATGGCAGGGTAAATAAAGTTGCTTTGCATTTGTCTTCACGGAAGAGGATATAGAAAAACTCAGAAAAACTTGTCGACTTGTGTAACTGGAGAGCTACAAGGTATTAATGTTAGTAAAGAGGTAGTATCTGAAAGAAATAGCTTGATAAACCTCTTAGATCAGATGAGTTTCATTGTGTACAAGATAATGAAAACAGAATATTAAAATACTTGTAAAAGCAAATATAATTCTCGGTAATTATCTGCATCAAATTTACTTCCAGATTCTGATGCACGGAATCAATTTTAAAAGTATTCACGTACATGTTTGCGAGTAACATTTCGAACATCTCCCACATACATGATCTTCCCCTGGTGCCGGACCATACCCACTGTGATAGAATCATCACAGACTTCCGATGCAATGTAACGTTCCACTTGGATCCCCAGATCCCTTAGCACTAGGAGTCCTGCAAACAGACAGATACAGTTTAACATACAAAGAACAACAATGGTCAGCCTGCTCATCTTTCACTGACAAATAATGCAAAAATAATGGTGAGTGACTAGCTAAATTCTGGTAAATGCACATTTTGCAAAATGGTTTTGGTGTAGTTATCATTTCAGTTGATCAGAGCTAGACAAGATGCCTCAACCTGCGTTTCTCCTTATCATAAATGTTAAATTTCCAAATATTTAGCTATTATATATATTTTAAAAATTTGTTTTAAGGTATCTGATTAGACGTCAACTTTGTGCAAAAGTTGAATTTTTACTGTCTGTCAGCAAACGTAAGGTAATGCATAAATAATAGTATTCAAGGAGCTACCTGAAGGGATCATAAAATATTAGCAAAATTTCTACATTCAGGTTCAAACTTTAATATATATGAAACATATGAATAAACAGTCTGACGGCACTTTCTACTTGTTTTTTATGTTGATTAGCTGCAACACTGCTTTTCAGTTACCACTCAGAACTGGTTTGTGGATTCATGACCTAATATTGCGAATACAACAACTGAATGTTTCCAACTAAACATTCTTTATACTTAAATGAGGCAACTTTCACGTTGTTTCATTACTTAGGATTTAAAAAAAACTCAATCAAAAAGTATTAGAAATATTAAATTAAAAAATGACATTAATACAATACATGTTTGTTGTGTTTGGACACAATTTTTATATGATTTGGAACCACAATTAACAAACCAACTGATAATTTGCTGAGCCATGGAACTAAAACCTACCTCTTTAAACAAACTTTTCTTTTTATTGTGAAACACTTTGAATGCTTATCTGTACTAAAGTTTGTAAATATCCCAACATTTAGTCCTATGAATCTTCCACAAAGTCTCTCTGAGCAAGAGCAACTCTCCTTAGGTTAGAAATTTAAACTGTACATATAACTCCAGATGTGATCACTCCAAAGCCCAAAAGGCTTTATTCTTTTACTCCAATTCTTTTGTATTGAAGAATAGCATGCTATTTGCTTCCCCAAATCCTACTATCATACATTTATTTACTCATTCGGTGGTACAGAACTCAAGTCTGACTGAAAAAAAAAGGTTGTCGAAGCTTTTCATCTTGTATTCATAAGCATGCACATCAATGTAAAGCAAAACAATTTTACTACTTACTGTATGAGAGAAATGCTGATTGTTGGCATGTCGATATTACCATGGATAATGCACTAGTTAAATGACATCTGACAATTAATTGCCAAACCTTGTTTACATTTCAAACCAGGCAGTAGACTCTGGTGTCAACACTTTGTTAAGCATTGTTTGGTGCGGCTCAGGAATTTCATTCTAGGATGATAGCGTCTGCCTGATTTCAAATATGTAATGACAGCAGGCTGAGAAGGTGCAGAAAATTGCTGGCCCCTGGTTTCTCTGAACCCCCTTGCTGGTTGTTGGAGAATTCCATTTCTGCTCACATTTTCCAATGCTCCTCCAAACTATCAGCTTTCAAGGACCACAGCCATCAGCAACGGTCTCCTAACTGTTAGCGTCAATGTCCGCCACCTTCATATCTTGTTTGCAAGTGTCCTGTAGAAAAGGTATGGAGATCCAGGAGGTTGTAACCCAATGATCAATTCACATTACAGAAAGTCTTTGGATATGCAACAGTCATCTATCCAATAGATTTGGCTGAACCAACATAGACATCATTGGCTTAGCAATGAGTTTATGCTTCAGGATCTCTGAGTTGGTGATCTTGTCCTACCAAATGAAACAGAAGACAATCCAAAACAGCAGAAGAGGGAGCTGTTCAGCTTTTTCTCCTGCCTGGTGAATGTTGTCCTGCTCTCACCACTGTGGAAGAGTATATCGAAACAGTCTTGGTACACTCGCGATTGAGCGTTCTCAATCAGATTGCCATTGGTCCACACTCTCTTCATCTGTTTGAGCACAACAGCTGTAGCTTTTGTAAAGCTGCAAAGATTCCAGCTTCAAGTGACAAGACTGCTGCTAATTATTGAATCTAAATCCCTGTAAAACTAACAGCCTCAGAATCACTTTAACAATGTTGAAGCTGGTGGTATAGCAACACTTTGGATCATGATATTTGCCTTCCTGATGCCAAATGGCCAAAGCAGTAGAGATTCTGTCCTTTTGCTGCTGAAGGTGTTCCTCAACAGGGAGTGTTGAGGCAGTTTTGCCGACCTAATGATGAGGTCTTGGCATATCTTTACCTTGGATCCCAGGTGAGTAAGGCTAAAGAGCTTTCCATCAGTTCTGGTATGTGAACAGACACTCTCTGTAGATGACTTGAAAGCATGATAGCAAGAAAGAGAAGAATCTGCCATAGTGTTGGTGCTGGAATACAACCCTGTTTGTCCCAACTGTGCATCACAAACGTTTCTGATGTTGCCCCATCATCGCTAACTTTACCCATCAATAATATCATGAAACAGAGATCACATTGAGCAGTTTCAACAGGCAGCCATCTTTCTCCAGCAGCTTAATAGTACACTTCTGCTCACATGGTCAATGCCATTGTGAAAGTGATGAAGGCAACACATAACGGTCTCCTTTTATCATGATGCTTCTCTAGCAATTGCTGGACTAAGAAGAACATGTAAATTGTAGATCTTCCAGTTTTGAAGCTAGATTGGGATTTGGGAAAGATGTTTTCAGCCAGAATCTGATAAGAGCCACAGCAGCAAATATTTATCTCATGATGCTCAGAAGGGAAATCCTTGACAGTGTTGCAATCACTGTAGTCACCCTTGATCTTGTAACAGGTCACCATCATTACCTCACACATATCCTGGTGCAATGTATGACTCCCTCCAGCAGAGACGTGAATAATGACCTTGTGTCTTGCGTTTGAGGTCTGGGTGCTCAAATTGCATCAGTCAGCTGAAAACTAAGCTGGCACTCTGAAGGCAATGAGGAATTTTGTCATCTTTGTATATCTTAGTTGAGAGGTGGCTATCAAGACATTTTCAGAATCTTACATTGAACTTAATCACCAACATTGGGCTTAGTTTATCAACTGCTTTGTGAAAGACCCATCTTCTCAAGTGCTTCAGAGAAGGAGGAGTTGATAATGACCTGCACTTCAGTTTGAGAGTGAGTGCACAGACAAGTTCACACTGAAACCTGAATGTATTTTTCTCAGACTAGAATCTTCACCACCCATCAAGGGAAAGACAGCAATCCCACAGACATTTGAAGGTGGTGGTACATCTTAAAACTTGTAACATTAGAAACAAATGGTGGAGAGAGCACAGCGATTCGCCAACTTATAGATGCCAATAATATGCATGGTTTCTTCAGCATTGTCAAACTGATCCAGGGTCCAAGCACTCAAAGGTCCATCAGACTGAGATCCAAGCATGGAAGGGAACTCATCAAGAATAAGGAAGCAGCCTGCGCTCACTGGAAAGGACATGCGGAAGAACTCCTCAACCAAGAGTTTGCCACTTGAATGTCCTCAACTCTATTTCTGAATACCCCATCCCACTCAGTGCTGGTGCTATCTTGGTCAGAGGGAAGTTGTAAAGATCATTGACAGCTGAGAAAAATAAGACCTCTGCAGCAGATTGAATCCCTTCCAAAATGCTGAAATTTAGCAAGAGTTACATTCCCGACATAGCTGCGTAACTTCATTTCCTTCACCTGGGAAGAGGACAAAGGAATGCTGTGACTGTGATTATGTTAAAGAAGGAAGACACATCTGATCGCAGTAACTGCAAAGGAGCCACAGTGCTGACTGCCTCAGGGAAGATCATTGCAAAGATCGTCCTATATTGTCACCTCCCAGTGGTTGAAGAGTTTCTTCAGAGCCACGGTGCGGTTTTCATCCACAGACAATCTTCACTGTTCAGCAAATCCCCCCAAAAAATGGGAGAAACACACCAACTGTATACAAAGCCTTTTTCAACCTCAGGAAAGTTTTCAAGTCTGTCAACTGCAAAAACTTCTGGAGTATTCTCTTCAAATTTAGCTGCTCTCAGAAATTTGTTACCATTCTCTGAATTTAGAAGGACATATAAACACATGACTGTCACCAACAGGACAGGTTACAGACGCGATCTTGAAGGCGGCTGGGGTCAAAGTTTTATCATCACACTAACCCTCTTCTCCATTATCTTCCATGTAGCACTGCACCTCATGTCCAATAAGTTACCTGGGCATTGAAACTATTTATAGAATAGCTGAGGAGCAGTTCAATCAACATCTCCTTCAATCCAAAACCAAAATCACTTCCCCATTTAACTTCATTTCATCAAAAACCTTGGATTCAGACACTCAGCCTCTCATCTATGCCATTAATTATAGATTATAAATAGCTGAAGATCAAGCACTGACCCTTATGGTATCCTCATAGCTACAGTTTGCCTACCAGAAAATTATCCCTTTATTCTGGCTCATTTTTTTGTCTGTCAACTCCACGTTAACATAACCCAAACATTTTAAGCTTTTCAAGAAACTCTATGGATGTATCAAACACGATTTCAATTTCATTAAATAATAATTAGTCTTGTCTCTATCGATGGACTCTAGAATTTCCTTCTGATTGATATCAGGCGAACAGTTCTAAGCTGCCGGCTTATTTTCTCCTTCTTTTCTTGAAAAACGGATTTACTTTTGATGCCTTCCAATACTCTGTCATGCAAAGGTCATCCTCAACTGCTGGAATTGAAAAGGCTGGAGAACCAAAGTGGATAAAACACTCTGGGTTGGTTGGGAGAAATATTGATAAATCTAAGTTGAGAAAAGGGGAAAAAAAAAAGTTGTGTGAGAGGGGTTGTTGTAATAGTAGGGAAAGGAATTTAAGGAAAAAAAATCTATTTCGAAAATTTTGGGACTTGCAAACATTTTCTCGTAAATTATTTGGTTATGATTTATGCTAAAATAATGCTTGCATTTGATGTGAGTTTGCAAAAATTCAAAATTCAATTGTACACCATATCCTTGAACCAATAGGACAAAGAGGATTAGTAGATGAATAAGCTA